CAAATAACAATGTATCAAGAGTATATATGCTCTTTTTTTACGTGTCCACTAAATCAAATAATGTATCAAAACATATGCAATATGAATCAATCTTTTTTTTATAATTAGATAATGCAATCAAGCAATAGTCAGCATTTTAATTTCAGTCGGACATGTCTGGACCCCTCAATATGTACGTTCCAGATATCCCTGAGGAGTCATGTTCTTTTCTGCTTCAGCTGTTTGAAACGGTCGAACTGGATATATACCCGAATGGGGCCAAGGACTCCGGACCTGCACGTAGATTTATAACTATAACATGTATGTAATGTTATTTAATGCTGTGCCATTATCCTTCCCATTTGTTGAATTGCCTGCTTCTGTTGTTAATTACCCTAGGCAGGTAGACATGACATGTATACTATATCATCGTACCTAAATGTACAATGCTGTTAGCTGTGTGGCATTAATACACTTTTACAGTCCGTTATCACTTTTTGTAATATAATTATACATGTACAGCACTGTTGGCTGTGCGATTTTGTGGCAGGGTAAATTACAAACTGTATTATTAGCTCACCTGGTCCGAAGAACCAAGGTGAGCTTATGCCATACCGTGGCATCCGTCGTCCGTTGTCAACAATTTCTTCAAACGACTTCTTCTTCTTCACCACTGATTGGAATTTACCTGGTAACTAAATTTGACAGGAAGCATCTCTAGGTGGTAGGGATTCACAATTGTACAAATGGTGGGGCTGACCCCCACGGTGGCTGAGGGGCAGAACCAAAAGTGGTCAATTTAGCTATATTGCTATAAATGACTTCTTCTCTAGAACTATGCACTAGATACCATCATATTTGGTTGAAAGCATTCATAGGAATGGGGGTATTCAAAATTGTACAAATGGTGGGCCAAAAAGTGTAATTTGGCTATATATTGCTTTAAGCAACTTCTTTTCTGGAACTGAGCAATGGATATCAACCATATTTGACTGGTTGCATCCCTAGGTGGTGAGGATTCAAAATTGCACAAATGGTTGGGCTGACTCCCTCGGAGGTTGAGGGGCAGAGCCAAAAAGTATAATTTGGCTATAATAATATTATTGCGTTAAGGGACTTCTTTCCTGGAACTAAGCAATGGATATCAACCATATTTGACTGGTTGCATCTCTAGGTAGTGAGGATTCAAAATTGTACAAATGGTTGGGCTGAGGGGTGGGACCAAAAAGTGTAATTGGGCTATATATTGGTTAAAGTGACTTCTTTTCTGGAACTGAGCAATGGATATCAACCATATTTGACTAGTAGCATTCCTAGGTGGTGCGGATGCAAAATTATACAAATGGTTGGGCTGACTCCCCCGGAGGTTGAGGGGCAGAGCCAAAAAGTGTAATTTGGCTATATATTGTAGGTAGTGAGGATTCAAAATTGTACAAATGGTTGGACTGAGGGGCAGGGCCAAAAAATGTAATTTGGCTATATATTGCATTAAGCAACTTCTTTTCTGGAACTGAGCAATGGATATCAACCATATTTGACTAGAAGCATCCCTAGGTGGTGAAGTTTCAAAATTGTACAAATGGTTGGTCTGACTCCCTCGGAGGTTGAGGGGCAGAGCCAAAAAGTGTAATTTGGCTATATATTGTAGGTAGTGAGGATTCAAAATTGTACAAATGGTGGGGCTGACTACAGGGGGCTGAGGGGCGGGGCCTCAAAATGTAATTTTGCTTTCTTTAAGTGACTTCTTCTCTGGAACTAAGCGATAAATATCAACAATTTTTTGAGAAGGTCAAGCATCTCTAGGTGGTGGGGATTTACAATTGTACAAATGTAACCATATATACAATTGCTGAGTATAAAGAGATGGATGGGTGTCAGGCCCACCCTGGAGACTTATTACATTGGCCATAACTTTGAAACAGTTGAGATCCCCACCCCAAAAATAGATATACAATTGCTAGGCATCAAGAGAAGAACACATTTATGATATTAGCATTGTCTCTTGGCTCTGGCCACACCCCTAGGGACCTAGTTTCTGAGTCACAACTTGTAAACAGGTCCCCACCCTATAACCATATATACAATTTCTGAGTATAAAAAGATGAATGCACATATGATTCCAGGATGGCCCCAGGGTATGTCCCACCCTTGGAGACATAACCCCTGGGTTGCAACTTCGAAATGGTTGAGCTCCCGACCCCAAAACTATATATACAAACGCTTGGCATGAAGGGAGGAATGCAGTTGCAGTCATGATATTAGAATTGACCCTGGATTCTGGCCACAACCCTAGGGACCAAGTTTCTGAGTCAAAACTTGGAAACAGTTGAGATCCCCACCCATAACCACATTACATACAATTGCTAGGCAAGAAAAATCTAATACAGATATGCTACAAGGATTGGCCTCGGGGTCTAGCCCTATCCCTGGGATCTTCTTTGAAAAATATATTGCCATGATTGCTTACTATAGATATCCAGGTGAACGATACATGCCCTCTGGGCCTCTTGCATTTGCCATGATGTACTAATTCTATGTTTTTGTGGTTTGATATATAATTATTGTTCATTCATATTATCTGGTGCTTAAATAGCTATTTTTATTGTTAAAATATTTTGGCTGATGTATGCCTCTTTATTTTCTTATTTCTACCTGAGAGATAATATTTTAAAACAAAATCATGATTGCATGTACTTTTTAAATTTGTTATTCCAACTGCTTTTAAAGTAAAAATAATTAAAACATAATTGATAAATTTTGTCTCCTTGAGGTTTGCTACCACAAGGGGAATAACTCTTGTGGTACACAAGGGGAATAACTCTTGTGGTACTCGCACTAGAGTTTGATGCAGTAAAATTTAGATATTAACCCTTTCATACCTTTGTAACTTTAGTAGACTCTACGATGCATTGATCTGGATGAGTCCATTATGGTCTACAGTGGTGAAAGGGTTAGCATAACATCATGTATAAACAATGTAAGTACAAAAAAAATCTACATTGTACATCAATGTAATATCAGAGCCCTATATTTTGGCTCTATATGTCTCTGGTTGAACAGTGTATGATCAATTTGAATGTAATGTACAATTCCTTAAGTATATAATTATCAATTCTCACCAAGTCCTCTGTAGGAACATGTGGGTATTATGGAGAATAAAATGTAAGAAATGAGAATGTGGTTGTTTTCTTCTTGATAGCCTGCGTTTCCTCTAGCCCTGACACCAGACATTTTGACATATAGATGTCCCACACCAGACGTACGTATATCTGTCAAAATGTCGAAGTCTTGTGGTAGGGCTATCTCCTTGACTGCTCCTCACGATTTATTTCCCACAGGGGTCATGGGGGTGGGGATCGTTTTATTGGTAATATAAAGTTAGGGGGTTATGTTTTACAGCCCAGCAACAGTACAGTTATATCCGGTCTGACTTTAATATTAAAATATGAGTGTTTTAGCTACTATTTCACACGAACATTGGTAGATTTGTATTGTTGATATAATGTATCTGTTTGTTGATTTTTGGTTTTATACATCAAAGAGGAAGAAGAGTGGAATTAGGACAAGCTCTTATCAAAGAGAGAGGGAGAGCTCAAAGACAGCAACAGGTTTTAAGTAAAATATAATAATGTAAAATATAGTTTGTATGCCTTGTTAAATGCCATCATGTAAATATCAATATGTACTGTATTAGAGGAAAAGGCGTTGATAAGTTGATGCAACTTGTGCCTTAATCATATGCTCAAATTTTGGACAATAGAAATGTTTAAATCAAATCAATAGATAAACTCTTAGTTTGTTTTCCAATCCTCTTTATTCTATGTTTTGAAGTTAGTTTAATGTGCAAAAAATTGGAAATAAAATACTGTTTAAACTAAAGATGAAGAGGGATTTTCACAACAGCAGGAAAACCTTCCATCATTAGATCCACATTGGGATATTTGTAGGTTTACACATAAATGTCCCGTACTCATTTTCAAAACGTCATGACGACAATATTAATTTTATACAGTGTCTTAACCCTTTCACCCATATGCAACTTTAGTAGACTCTCCCGTGCATTGATCTGGACAAGTCCATTATGGTCTACAGTGGTGAAAGGGTTAAGGGAAAATAATAATAAAAACTGCGTATATTCACTTCATAGTTTATTTAACAGCATGTATTCATCATGAGAAATACATCAAAAAAAAACAAACAGATGTACATGTATATCTCACAGGTCGTAAGTCTACAGTTAACCAGTAATTTGTCTGGGTTGTACTGTACCCGAGATAACACAGACGGTACCACACAGACCACTAGCACTGAAACATTTAACCCTGTAAAGTAAAACTTCGACATTCGTTTGTGTCTATGTTGGTACCGTTTGTTGCAAGGCATTCTTTCTCTTCATGAAATCTTTGTAGGAACCTGGTAAAGTCTGCAACATACATTGTGTGTATGCCAATAACGTATTCTTATAATACACTAATTAAAAATTTGACAATTTAAATGTTTTAGTTTAAAAATATCCGATAAAGTTTTTGTTTGAAATATGTGCCAGAGATATTTTCATATTTTGCTTTAAATATCCAAACATCTCGGTAATCTTCACCAGATACATTGTTTTATTTACTGTGTAATATACACATGTACCACGTACAGAACATTTTATATAATGTAAAGGTAATGTATGAAATCATATCCTGGGTTGTACTTGTATGACATCTTTACATTGTGTGACTGTAGCAACCCCCCTCCAACCCCCAACCCCCAACCACCAAACTTTGATCGAGTATAAAAATGAGATGATTGAAGCAGTGAAGAGGTAGATGGTGAACTGCAGGTGATTTTTCTGAAGAATCAAGTATTTTTTGCATCAATTATATGAATCCATGTTCTTGAAACGCTTATTATACATTACACAAATGCAAGAATGTAGTACGAAACACGTGGTTTCTGCATTCACTTACTTTAAAAACACTCTGTTACTTCCTTCATTTACTTGAAAAGGCATGTCATTCAATTAAGAAAAACAATTTGCCAATTTAAATATGTTTATTGCACATTTAGTTCCATAATATCAAAATCGTACGTAGCTTTCCTGGTCATTTTTACACAGTTGCCTCCCCTTATATAGTGAGATGTCAACCGTCATGGAAAATTGAGTATTTGGTAACAGGAATTTGACATTCGAGTATTTTGATTAACAGGTGCATACTTTTAATTAATGCTAATAGCAAGAGTTAATTATAAATTATGGTATATATGTATATACATGAAACAATATTATTTACAAGTTCGCAATATTCAATAAATCAGTAATCGATATCACACGTACAGTATTCATACTAGTTACAAGTATGATATACATTGTACACATAATCGACTATATAACACTAAACGCTTGGCACTATCATCGTCTGCTCATGTATGTAAACTAGTTGTTCAACTCTGTGTTAGGTTCTCATTAATTAAAAAATGACTGTATTGACTTTGTGTATTCCGTGAGTCTTTAACAGTTCACGTGATGTCCGAGGCAGAAATTATCACCACCGTAATACTTATTGAAACACCGTACCTCGTCGTTTGAATACGCGTATTTACGAGTCTATTTTGCCTGGCAACGCAACTGGACCTCAAATGATGGTGAAACTGTCGGAAATAAGAGCCTATTAGGTAGTGGAAAACCTTACACAACAATGAACAATTTGCTATACAGTTCTGCCTCGACTGGGAACTTGACCTGCCGTTGTCACCCGACACGGCCTTGGTACACTCTCATCATACACCATTGTCTCTGACACCATTCAGCATTGTTCGGGATAATTCGGCACAACAAGCACAGGGCCTAGGCACATTGGAAGGGGCATTGTCTACTTTAAAATGATATCCCTCTAACTGTTATATCCATGTTGCTGTATACTAAGGAATGATCAACACTAAAATCCCTGTCACTTTGTCCCTCTTTTGTAATGCTGTCTGAAACACCATCCTTGCAGGCTCCATTGACGACGCTCTAAAAAGCCGTCGGAGATGTAGACACTTTGTTTCTACCAACTTTCATGCTGGTAGTGCACTTTATATGAAACAGGTGACTGCTCCAGGAAGCTTCCCGCGTTCGTTGATCCTGATGTCATTGCTGCGTCATTTTCTTGACGCAGAACATTGAGGAACCTCTTTTATCAATTCTCGCACTTCTGGTCACGAAAGATGTTCTATGCATAATTTCCACACCAGACTGCCGGGGTAAGAGAATGGCTGTTTTCCAAAAAGTGAATGGGATTTTCGACTTTTAATCGCTTTTGATTTTAACGAAATATCACATTTCTTCACCCACAATGTTTTTGGAAACAGAATGCATATTCAACTCAGTTGCCATGGGAACTATGTTATCGTGTTGCAATCAATCACGTGGTCACCTCGGCAACCATACTGTTCCGTAGGAATGGCATTTTCTTTCAGAAATGCACAGTCTCTACTTCGTACTTAAAAATGTGTTTAAACATTTTAAAGAATCCGCGATCAACCTTGCCCATTTAAAACGCTGGAAAGGATGACAACGACCAGGGTAAAGGTCAGCACGTGCAGGTTGAGATGGAGGCCATTGGCGCCGCTGAAGAATGACGATAACTTGATGGCAGTAGTCGTGTTGACGGGGACAGCAACGTTACAGTAGGGTTTGTCACAGCACGAGACACATACCTGTAACATATATATATACATGGTTAAGTAGGTCACAGAATGACACAAATATACACGATAAACATATATATACATGGATAAGTAGGTCACAGCATGACACACATATACACGATAAACATATATAAACATGGCTAAGTAGGTCACAGCATGACACACATATACACGATAAACATATATATACATGGCTAAGTAGGTCACAGCATGACACACATATACACGATAAAGTAGTACTATGACACGCATACTGAGTTTTAACAAGTAAGGTCGAAGTACACACGTAGACGTTAGACGTATACGTAGGCGTAACTTACGTCAAAAAACTGTATTTACTAAAGGTCGTAACTTTTAGTTACGTGTAAAGTTACCTCTGTCTCTGAGCACACGTAAGTTCACACGTAAGTTCACGTCTAACCCTACGTTAAAACGGACCTTACGCACACGTAACTAAAATACGTGTGGACTTACGATCTTTAGTAAAACTCAGTCCTGGTACTGAATCGTAACAACGCGAAAGTGACGATTCTGAAAAAGTAGGTCACAGCACACGCATGCGTATTTAAACAGGAACTTTTAAGGAACGTTTGATAAAATTGACAACATTTTGGTGGCCTCAGATATGATAAATCCATCAAATGCTCAGACACTAAGAAAGAAACCATTTAGAATCTGAATGATATATGTTCCCTTCCCCAATGATGAGTTCCGTAAAATCCATAGAAATGCTATCGATATGTCATCAGTGTTCATTTTGTGAGCAATAAGTGGAGGCAATGTTTAACATGAATCATCAGTGTATTGATTGTTATGGAATACTTGTTCTCTCTATAAGAGGGTGGTATTGATAGAGGATGAGTTAGTGAGGAGGGGACGTCACTTACCATATGGTCGGTGTTCGGGACAGCGGTACAGCCGACTGTATCCGGGTCACAGTCGGAGGGAGGGGCACACTGCTTGATGACGGACACACTTTGGCCCGTGGTCTTGTCAAGGACGTGGGTCGTCTTACACACAGTATTATCTAAAAATGAATACATAATTAATTAAAAAAAAAACGGCTTTAAATACAAAAGAGTTGTAAATAATACACTCAATCAGTACACACTTTTAACCAAATTCGTTCAAATATAAAAAAATGGTATTTATTTCACCAACATATATTTACCCAATCATTATAAATTCGTTAATATACAATTATCGATACTTTGTGATATCTCGTCTATTTAGGCCCTATTCCTCCTTTCAAGACTCCTGGATCTACCAAGGTTCTTGCTGTTCACTCAGATTCACGATTTATTTTTGCTACAAGTTAATAAAAATGTATATCTCGAAATGAAATCTTGTAAAATATAGAAACTTTAATACTCGAACTGTAATGCCCGTAGTTTAGAAACATCAAAATATTTAGCAGTTACTTAGGCCTATTTTGCATACAAATATTCAGTTGAAGCGGGTTACCATTACTCGTATACCGCATATGACCTTACGACCTTTAAGTAATCGACCTTTTGACTTTGATGTTGACTGACGTGAAAGGTTAATACTTACTGAGAGGGCATTTCACATCCGGGGCCCAATCGTTGCACGCGTCATTGTTCTTCTTGATTGGACAGGTCCAGCACGTGATGTCTGTAAGGGAACGGATAAGTTTTATTGAATTGACATTGTTCGTCCACGTACAATTCAGTTAAACCATACAGAAAGCAAGACATTTCTCCCATTGTGACACGGAATTGAGGACAAAGGGCACGAAATAAAAATGTCGCCATTAGTGATTTGTAGTTAAAGAAAACGTATTTCTCGCTAGTGTTTTGCATAAATATTTGGTAGAGTGATACAAACAACTCTCTCGTGATTGATGAATTTTAATTTCAAGTGATTTCATGTACAAATCGCTGCAAATGATTGAAACCTTCCAGACTCGTTTCATATGTCTTAAAAATTCAAATTGAAATTACTTATTTTAAATCCCTTATTTTAAATATTTAAGCTAACGTTGTAATCTGTCAACGTGGTACTAGGCATCCATAATATATGTTCAGGACCATCAACACGATCAGTAAACTTTATACAGCTTACATGAAAAGAACCATCAACGATATGTCGAAAGAGTGTGTTTACACATGTACATCACTTATCTTCTTAATATACTTGCCTCACATAGGAAGCCGCGCGTCAAGCGTCTGTCTGGATATTTATTCATTTATTTCTGGTTTGCTACTATGTGTTCTCGTTTAAATCAAAAATAAATTAGAAGAAAAAATAATAGAAGGAAGTTTATTTTTTCTGATTTGCTGAAACTAAACCTGTACTTACCACTGGTTTGCTGCTCATCTGCTGTGATGACGAGGTTGGCGGAGCACAGCTGAATCACCACTACAAGGAGTACAGAATGGAGTGTAAGAGACATCTCGACAGGAGAGTGATGTGAGTCAAGGGCGCCAAGCAGCAGTATTGCGGTCAAAATTGTGGTCGTAATTTCTCAGATCTGAAAATAAAGTCAAAATAATTAGTTTTATACCAAATTCACATAATTCTGTTTAAATGGTCCATAAATATGTTTATCTATTTATTTATTCAATTAACACTTTGCAGCCCTGGGTTTATTTTCTCAAAGCCTTGTTAGCTTAACCAACGAGTCGTTAACATTTTTTTTTTTTACAAAATGCAGCTTTGAAGAAATTTCTTGATATTTACAAACATTATTTATTTATTTAATTTTCAGATAGGGGTTTTGAGTTCACATGTATGCAGTTTTAGGGTTGAATTTCAAATCATATGAGTTAATTGCGGTGAAGTTTAACACACTTTGAACCATCGGACCTCGGCGTCAGTTCGAACTTAACAGTTAATAGTGTTATTCAGCGCCGAGTTTAATAGGTAAACTTTCTTTTAACTTCTCCGTCTCCTTATCATTTCTTCCCTTTATGAACTTCTCTGTGTTAACGATTGACAGACGGAATATTCCTTTTCATCTAAAGTTAATATAAAGATTGGTTTTCAAAACATCGGTTTAATGTTTCCATTCCCGTTAACAGATAATGACTTGACCTTTCACTTTATTAGTAAATTAGAGTTTATAGGTATTTGTCGACAGGGATATGTATAAATATAATGTCAATAAAAACCATAAATGTATTTTTCCGGTACCCTTTGAAGGTGGAGAAAAAATCCGTTAGTGCAATAAAATAAATTATTTATTTTCGTATTTTTATATATTTATATTTACTGTACATTTATATTACAATGTACATGGCCGCCTCATATAGTACAGTTATATTGTAAAGATGAAACGGGCAATTGAATACACAGTAATTTGATTTCCTTTAGCAGATTTTCAAACACATCTTTACATGTATGATATTTGGAATTCAAAGTGAATCAAGAAGTTATATTATTGAACAGTTACAAAACCAACATAATTATATATACGGGCTTTCATATATAACTATATGGACACCATGTAACATAAAATAGCGATGGAACTTGTGACGTCACAGATGTGACCCAACCTGATCGTCCCTTTTGTGAAGGTTTGGTTTTCAGAAAAATCACCCTATCTCGGGAACGGAGGCCATCACATTGTTCGTACTTATTTGGCCTTTTTTGCATCATATGAAGTAAATATCAAATCATTCATACACTTTAACGGACAGTTTGACCACAAGGACGAAAATGCCAGTGTATAAAACCGGTCAATGTGCTGACAAACACTTGCTAGTTTTTGCTTTTTGGAATTAATCAGTCAATTAAATGTGAAATTTCTACTACGAAATTACTTATTTAGAAATCGAAAGTATCTGTCTATCTGACGGAGTGTTTAACTGGCGATCCCGGTCAACGACAGATTCTCAATTTGTATCAAAAAAATATTCGGGCAATATTAATAATTTGTTTCTAATGGTTCAATCATGTATTTATTACCAGTTTTTGATATTGACCATTACCAGGGTCTATATACGAACTTAATCAAGTTTAAGTCTACGTTTATTACTAACACACGTAGTTGCATACAATGTACTGACTGTAATAATGTCACGCATCGGAAGGAACCTGGGCACAAGTTTCTTTTTCATTAAACCTTTGCATGTGGTCATAATAAGATTCATAATTGATGACTGTTTTATTTTTAAACTGAACAAAAAAAATGGTTTGCTACATGCGACGTTCCCGTAATACGTTGATTATGTTTGATCAGTTCAGAAAACAATGGCGGCTTTATATCACTTTTAACATATATAGACTTTATTGTTTATTTGGGTGAGAATAATGTCAGTGTCCATTCATCAGTTCAAAATCAGATAAGAAAATATTGTAACGTGTATATGCTAAGAAAAAACCCATCACCTTTGAGTTAAAAACGGCTCATTGGTTCAAAGTAACGCATGCAATTAGTAAATAACATGCAAACAACACTTACACCACATGTTTGTATACCTTACAAGGTCGGATACAGCCTTAACTCTAACACCAATTAAAGATACGGAGAGGGTTTGATATACCTATAAGCATAACCCAAATCACATGTATAATGTGCAAGATAGCATCTACCCCTAACTCTGACATTAACCACAGGTTTATTGTGTGAGGTAGCAAATATCCTTTACTTTAACACAAATTACAGGTATAAAGTGTAAGGTAGCATATAACCTTAACTCTAACTCATAGTATGAGTATAATGTGTAAGGTAGCATATAACCTTACCTCTAACACAACACATAGGTATAAAGTGTAAGGTAGCATATAACCTTAACCCTAACACAACACACATGTATAATGTGTAAGGTAGCATATAACCTTAACTCTAACACAAAACACAGGTATAATGTGTAAGGTAGCATATAACCTTAGCTCTAACACAAATCACAGGTATAATGTGTAAGGTAGCATATAACCTTACCTCTAACACAAAACACAGGTATAATGTGTAAGGTAGCATATAACCTTAACTTCAACAAATTAGAGGTATAATGTGTAGGTAGCATATAACCTTAACTTCAACAAATTACAGGTATACTGTGTAAGGTAGCATATAACCTTAACTCTAACACAAATCACAGGTATAGCTTGAAGGTAGCATATAACCTTAACTCTAACACAAGTTACAGGTATAATGTGTAAGGTAGAAAAATTACAAATTACAGGTTAGGTATAGCATAACGCCTCAACTTTGAAACAAATCACATGTGTAGCGTGTAAGATAACATATATTATTAACTTTATTAATCTAGGGTAAAGCATATATTTAAACGCGCCACAAGAAGCTCACAGCTTTCAATCGGCGTCATCGCTATATGAACTAAAGTGGCAATCATAATACTTCTTCTGTTTTGCTGGTTGCAACTAAAATGGTATTGGCTCAGTAAACTCATCTTCGCTAGCCAAGTGTTCGCTTCGTATAAAACTCCGTGGAGTAAGCGAACACTTGGCTAGCGAAGCTTAGTAAACTGGACTCAAATCAAAAAATGTGTTTCAAGTCGTAATTACTAGCTGTTAAATATAAAACTAAATATGTCAGTTGTTATAACGAAAATGTATGTTTCACCATCAAAAAAATATTTAATAGATAAATACCTTTTCAGCTTCAAAGTAATTTTGTAACAAAATGCGATCCAGTGCAACCCCCATTTATCACCCGTCATCAACAGATCAATTATTTTTTGGTTTCAATGGAGTAAATAAAATAACGTATGTATAAAGTATACTTTATACCTACCGCAACGTAAAGCATGTACAATAAAATCCAAAATCAAACTTTCTTCGGCGCATTTAACTAATTTAGCACCAAACACATAAGTCAAGACCAACTTCCGTTTTAAAACGAGAGAAACAAGTAGTCTTCAATAACATTGGGTGTATTGGAGCGAGATAAAAGCGTTTGACATCAATTCCAATCAAAAACTAACTTCACATCGTTTTGTAACATGACTTAGGTTTGCTGAATAATTCTAAACACTGTTTTGTTATAATAGTGTCAGCTTTATTCCTGGTAAAAAGGAATCGTCCATGCGATCGTTTTAGTCTCGTGTCAGATTAAGCTTTAATTGTTATTGGCATTTAACTTTCGTGAATGATCCTCATTAAGGTTACAAATTTAAACTCGGGGGATAATATGAATCTCCGGTTGGTGATCAACAAATATGGCATTCTACATTTAGCAGCCGATCTTTACAAGCGCACAGGGATGGATTCCTAGCGGCTTTGTTTACTGAGAAATGTATACAAGAACGAGCATTTTTTTTGTGAATGAACATTTGTCGGCAGATAATTTTCCCATGTCTTCCTTTGGTTAATGTATGTGAAACGTTTCAATATCCCGTGTGTCATGTAGGATTTATTTTATTTTAGAATAAAACTTTTTTTTCCATTTTGTACGTACACCTGTCATTTTGATAGCTCCGATTTAAATGTGTTCGTTTTGTTCGATCCGTGTAATCTTATACGCAAAAGAATATAACAAACCTGTGTTATGTGGAACCGTACAAATACCGGAAATTCGCGCTCCGTGCATTAATGTGCAGGAAAAAAAGTATGATAGTGAAAAGTATTTTTAATCCGAACGGTGCATTAGTCCGGACTTTTCAAAGCACCCAACTTCATATATATGATATGTATATATCACATTTCCAAATTCAAATTTATTTGATAAAAGTGTCACGCAATGTCACCATAATATTAGTATAAGTATTGAAGCTGGTGTCAAATCTGTTTGTAAAAACACACATGAAGTCAGAAATGTTTTTAAAATCGAATAGTGTCCGTATGATCGTCAATGTTCAGGCAATAAACGCGGTTTATTAACTTCAGGAGACAACGATTGATATTAAAAAAGGCATGTCTTTCCCAGATTCATATAGATTTGGTGTCAACTAATATTACAATATCTAGTTACCTATTGTCGAAAGCGATTTCATATAAATACCTTCATGTCATAACGTGAAATACCTTATTCTAATTTTCCCCGTAAAAATAAATGAACATTCAAATAATGAGTGATTTTCGATTTCATTTGAGATGATATTTGCATGTGCTGGCTATATCATTTTTAACGAATATGTCATCATTGTCGACAAGCACGCAACAACAGGTGTTTAACAGAAACGTGTGAATAATTAGCCATAGTATATGATATACTAAAGAATATATATGTTTATTTGATAGGCAAGCATCATACCTGTATATCCGTTCCAGATTAAAATAATGTACAACAACTTTGTTGTGTATACGAAAAATAAGAAAAATTGTTTTGGTGAAAACACCAGCGAAGTAATCTCATTTAGGAAAGGCACATCTGCTTAAAACCAAAAGTGATGTCATTTTAAAGTGTTTGCGTTCGATTCTTAGAAAATAAAATCTAATTAAAAATAACTTACCGATTCACCTCCAATGTATATTCAAAATCGGTGTTCGTAAATCCGTATAATATGTAACGCTACCCCTTCGATGGTTTATATGAGAATGCCTGATTTTTTTCACGCAAAGACCTAT